GGAAGGGAGGGATAAGGGCGGGAAAAAAAGAAAGGGGGCCTTACGATTAACATGTATAGAGGGGGGTGGCACGGGGAGGGCTGTGTAACACAGAGAAGACAAGTAGTGATTTTACAGCAACTTACTATGTTGATGGACAATGACTGTGAACGGGGATATGGGGGGGACTTGATGAAGGGGGGAGCCTAGTAAACATAATGTCCTTCATGTGATTATAGATTAATGATACCAAAATAAAATAAAATAAAATAAAATAAAAAGAAAGACTAAGATGATGGACCCATATTTTCAAAATTATAGCAGACTAGATACTCTCCCAGTAACACCAAGAGAAATTCTAAATATTTCTCCAAACACTTATTTGTAAATGCATCATCAAGCTGACATCAGAGTAAGACATACTTGGAAGCCAAAGCCATGGTGAAAACAGGTATCCAGGGTGTTAAGCAAGCACATAATGAGCCTTCACCTCAGAGACTCCACCCTGGTGACCCAGCCTTTCCATTCTGTTGGCCATTTGAGACACACAAAAGATGGAAAAGCCCAGGGGGATCTAAAGAAAGTCTGCCTTATGAAGCTGGAACTTCAAAGTTATCTTTATTGACTGACATTTCATAAATACAGGCTAACTGTTACATGGGTCTGCATCTACATTCACAGAACCTATGTATTTTGTTTGTCATCCCAGGCTAGTTGTGCACCCAAGCACCAGACAAGCAAATTCAAACATTTTTTCAAGGGAACATTTTAATTACAGGCCTCAAAGAATTTCCACCAAAAAAATTCCAAGGAAAATGTATTCACAGTCAAATAACACAAAACATACCAAGAAACAAGACACCATAAGCAAGAGCCTGCAGAAACAGCAGCCAGCAGACTCAGATCTGCAAATAATTCAGCCATTAAACTTATAAGACACAGAATATAAAATGTTTGACATGTATAAAAAATATACTTAGAATATACATTAAAATATAAATAAGGAAAAAGCATTAAAAAGTGACAAGATTTAAGGGAAAATACAACTTCTGGTTATGAAATTAGACTAACTAAAATAAAAATGTTATGGGTAGGTTAAATAGCAGATCAGAACACAGCAAGAATGTGAATGGATGAAACTGAAGACACATCTATATAAGTTGTCAGAATGCAGCCTAGAAAGATAAAGAGACAGAAAATATGAAAGAGAAGTTAAGAAACATGCAGGATAGAGTAACAAAGCCTAACAGATGTCTTCCTGGAGTTCCACAAAGGGAAAAAAGAAGAGGAGGCAAAATGGGGAGATGATAAAAATGTTCTGGAAGTTTTGCATGACACCACTCCTCAGATTCATTTCACACAACACAACGTAATACAAATATCCATATCCTACAAAACACCAAAGAAAGTATGAAAGAAAAGAAAGACTGCCTCAAAGAGAATGACATTTTTACAGAGAACCAACTTCTCAACAACAATGGAAGTGGAGAAATAACAATAATATCTTGTCTGCTGAGAGAATACTATCAAAAATATATGTTCAGCAAAACTAACTTTAATAAACAAAAATGAAAGAACGATAATTTCATACAAAGTATGAGGGAATATGTCTCTAACTGACTCTAGTTAAAAAGTATTTTATATAAAGGGTGTATTTCAGGCAGAAGGATACTGATCTTAGATAGAAGGTCTGAGAAAGTTTAATGAGCAACTAAATTGTTAAATATGTGGGTAAATTTAAACAAACAATATTAAATGCATAGAATAATAATAGTAAGTCCATATGTATAGAATGAAAGAACAGAGGAAACTAAAACATTGGACAAGATAGCACAGAAATTGGAAGGGGGGTTCCAAATTAGAGAATAAATATATTGATTAACTTTCAACATTGTTAGTAAGCATGTTAAAATGTCAAGAGTAACTCCTAAATGAACAAAAATAGACTGTATAACTTCCAGACTAAACAAGGGGTAAACACACTAAGAATTATACACATAAAATTCAATCCAAACCAGTGCAGGAGAGGAGGGAGAGGGGAGAGCAGAAAGCACAAGTTAAGGTGGTCGGAAAATACAGCTACATCTGTAGTGACAATAAATGTAAATCAACTAAATGCTCCTCACAAAAAACTAAGATTACAGCACTAGAGGAAAAAATCCAATTGTAAGTTATGTATAAAAGACACACAAAACATGAAGACAGAAAAATATTTAAAGTAAAAGACTGGGGACTCTCTTGTCCCCTCCTGGCATGAGCCAGGAGCTCTGTCCTTTCTCTCTATCTCTAAATAAAAGCCTCTGCCTTGCTCTCCTAAAAAAAATAAAGTAAAAGATAAATAGATTCAATAGGCAAATATTAATCTAAAGAATGTAGCAGTATAGTAATATCAGATACAACAGACTTATAACAAAAAGCATTTCTAGCAATAAAAAAGTTCACTGCATAGTGATAAAAAATTCAGTTCAGAAGTAAAATATAACAATTCTAAATCAAGATTTAAACAAAATAATGAGCAAGCTTCATCTAATGTTTATAGATAAAAGGTTGCATTCAACATGAAACGAGAAAATGGACCTCAAACTAGGCTATAAAGCAAGTCCCAGTCTGAAAATATTAGGATTATATAGAACATTATCTCTCATCAAAATGGAATTAAGTAAAAATCACTAACACAAAGATACAATAAAAATTCTATGCTTGGAAATTTAAAACTATACTTTATGTGGTGTAATTGTGAGTTTGTTTATGACACTATTCCTTTAACTTCCTATATTGTTATCTTTTTGTAAATTATTTTGTTCTAAATGAATTACAGGTTTATTGTAAAAAAATCTAACAATACAAATTTGTATGAAGAAAAAATAAATAAAACTACACTTTAAAATAGTTCATGGATCAAAGAAAAAAACTATATGGGGAACTAGAAAATATTTGAAATAGAACAATAACAAAAAATGTTACACATCAAAATTGGAGATGCAAATAAAGCAGTTGTTGGAGCGTAATTAAAACTTTAAATGCCTCCTTTCTTAGAAAAGAAGAACTAACCAATGAGCTTAGATCCTGATTTAAGAAGTTGGAAAAGGAATAGTAGAATAAACGCCAAAAAGTAGTAGGGTGGGAAGTTCAAAATAAGAAGCAAAAATTAATTAAATAAAAAAACAAACAAAATATGAAGGTTCAAGAGAGCCAAAGCCTGGTTCTTCAAAAAGACTACAAAAGTGATAAACCTCTGACAAAACTGGTAATGGGAAAACAGAAAATTAGGTATGAAAAAAGAAGTACATAACTACAGACACAGCACAAATTAATGTCAAAAAAGAAAACATTTTGAGTAACTTTATATCAACAAATTTTAAAATTTAGATAAAATGTGCAAATTTGTAGCAATATATAAACCACCAAAACTGACTCAAGAAGAAATAAAATACCTGAATAGTCCTCTAATCATTAAAGAAACTGAATGATGAGCTTAAAATTCTCCCATGGAACTTCATACTATGCCCATTTTACAGGCAACTTAGTTAAGATGGCAAAAATAAACGAAACTTAGGTCCTCATGTTAACAAGGAGGAATCTCAAGGTTATAATGTTGATATATAACATAGCAAGTCCCAAAAGAATACATACAATATGATTATATAAAGTTTTAAAGCATACAAAACTAAATAACATACTGCTTAAGGATATATGTGTCTGGTAAGTACGATTAGCATAAATTTCAGAATTGGTTCCTGAGAGAAGACTATGAGATCAGGGACAGCCACATGGCTGATGGGGAAGACCTCAGAGATATTTCACGTTCCACCACTTGTCATTAATTCAGGCAAGCCAATTTTTTCACATCTTAACATCTCTGAAATAAGGCTGTGCCTTACGAGCTATAGCACCATAAAATAATAATTTGCATCAATTTTTCTTTCTCGGTGGTATGTAAAATAAGGGTATGACTTACAAATAATGGATTTGACAACATGTGGGTATTTCTTAACACTACATGGTGGAAATATGGGTGTATGGTCTATTTTTAATTACTTGTATCTTGCAGATATATTAGAAATATTCTTTTTTATGTATTTAATTTGTAATTAAATCAAGTTAAAAAAGATTGTGATCATGCGTCAGGTTAATATAGGGGAAAGAGAATTAGTAGTAGGGACAAAATTAGGCAGGATTAAGAATTCAGATGGTGATGGTATGTAAATATAAAGGGCGTAGGGTGAGGAATGAGATCCTAGATTTCTAAATAAAGATGGAAACAGAAGTAGAAAGCCTTAGGAACCAGGATAGTGTAAAGGAAAGTAAGAAAATGAGGAAGTTTTATTCTAAAGTCAAGGAGGATAGGGACACAGTTGAGGCTCTAGAACCTTCTACATCCATGGAAATTTCTGAGTCTGCAACATCCAATATGGTAGCTGCTAGATACATCATAATGTGGTTATTGGACATTTGGAATGTGGCTGCTGTGACTAAGGAACTGAATTTCTAACTCTATTTCATTTTAATTAAAGTTAAATAGCCATAAGTAGCTAGTAACTACAGTTTTGAACAGCGCAGCTCTACAGTGCACACAGCTCCTGAATCCAGACAGAGTGCAGGGAGAGGGGCACCAGCCACAGGATACTCACCAGCCACTATGAAGAGAAGAATGCCAAAGATCAGGACATAGTAAGGCCACTGCACGGAGAACTGGTGGGGACTCAGCTTGGTCCTCAGACTCTGCATCTCCAAGGCATGCAGCAACAAGGCCAGGAAAGCACAGGCCCCTGCAGGGTCACATTATGTTGCTCTTGCTCTCCTCTGGGGGTTCCAGCCTTTACTCCCACCTTCTCAGACTCGTCATACAGGGCCACGTGGCCTAAATACAGCCTCTGTGGCTCCCACGTGGAGGCCCCTTTCTCTACCCACACCCCTTGCCCTCTTAGACCCAGTAACCTTCACCCACACACCTGTCTCCTCCAACCTCCCAACTCATCTGAAAGCCCATGTGCCTTGTCTCCCAAAGGCCCCACAATCAGAAATCCCTTTCCTGGGTCCCCCTGTGCCCATGCCCTTAACTGACACCAGAGGCAGCCCTGTGTTGTGTGATACTGTGGATGAAACAACCTGATTTCCCACTGTGAGCGTTCCACCTCCTCCTCCATCTGGTGGGAGCCTCCCCGGGTAGGGCCTTGGTCAGCCTTTTAGAGTCAAAAGGTTTCAAAGGGCAAAGACGGTCTCCTCCATTGACTCATCCAAGAAACATTTATAGCATATATCTCAGTGAGATTATAATTCTGTACCAGATGCTATGACAGTTGCTGGGATAGAGATCATGGTAAAAAGACCCCCCAGATAAATGACCCCAGGCCAGTGGGGTAAGGACTATGCTAGCTGGAAATGCTGCTGTTGAGAAGCCCCAAAGGAGAGGGGTCAAAAGTCCCGAGGTGGGGTCTACTTCACAGAGAAGGCAACAGAAGGGACCCTACAGATTCTCTCCCCCTGATCTCAGAGACAGTGAACCCCTCCTGCCCTCTGAGCCCTCCCCAAGGCTTGCCTGCCTGTTCCACACCTGTGAGGAAGCTGATGGAGGCTGTCACAAAATTCTGCTTCCGGATCCTTGGGAAGAGCTGGGATGCAAAGGACACCAGGATGAAGGTGGTGAAGAAAGACAAGACCACCGCAGACAGCAGGAAGACACGGCCAAGGATGATGTACACTGCAGAGGGACAGCAGTCTGGGCTGGGCACCCTGACCCATGAGGCCAGAGGCCCACCAAGTCCCCTTGGGTTTCCCCCAACACACGGCCTGGGACCACACGACCAGTTTGCCACCAAGAATGGTCTGGTCCCACTATTTCATTACCCCTGACATGGAAGTATAAGAAAAAAATTAGGTGGACAAATGGTGGTTGTAATAATCAACATAAAGTGAAATTCTTGGGATAAAATTTGTTGCGCATGGAAAACGAAGACTGGCGTCTGAATGGGTCACACTGAATCAAGTTAGTGGTGGAAAATCAGAGTTCTGTGAGGTGAAGAGTCCTGAATCCTGCCAGGAATCCTTATTTAATTATCCTGGTTAATAGAAAGAATGAAACAGACCGAAGATAGCAGAGCCATATGATGGGTGATTTATTCTCCTGCTGCTGGCATGACTCAGACCTGTGGTAAAGGGAGCCTGTGCCCTCCTGCGCACGCAGAGGTGGACAGCTAGTGGGGGGACAAAGATACAAAGGTGCTGTTGAAAACCCAGATATTCTAGAATCTACTCAGGTTAAACCAGTGGTTCTCAGCCAGGGACAGTTTTGTCCCCTTCCGGGATATTTGGCAATGTCAGAAGGTAATTTTGGTTGTTAAAATCATCTGGGGGGTGAAGGGGGAGCAGGTCTTGCTACTGGCATGGAATGGATAGGGCAGGCAGGAGTGTAATTAGCCATCCTGCAACAAACAGGGGAGCCCCAAAATAAGAATTAGCCACCCCCAAATGTCAGTCAAAGAGTTCACAGTCTGGCCTATCCTCTGCTCCTGTTACCAGGAGATGGTCCCTACAGGTCCCAGGGTCACCTCTTTTCCATGACAGACATTCTCCTGACCTTCCTAGGTACCTTGTAAAATATGATCTCAAGCACCTTCACAGTTCACTCAACTCATATTTGTGTACATTGAAAATGTGGACACCAGGCCTGAGCGTGTTGTCTGTAGAGCTGCCACCAGTTAAACTACGGGGACAAGTGGTGGAGGGGAGCAGTAGCAAGTAGCCACTCATACCCTAGAAATAAACTTTGTTGCTGATACATTTGCTCCCGATTTGGGTAGTCAACCTGGCATTATTAACCCCTTCCCAGTCACCTATTTTCCTCCCATCCTGACAGTGGAGAGTCAGAGAAAATGCCCTTATGAAGTCATTCAATTCTGTCCTCTCGGCTCCCAGCCAGTCCTCTGTCACAGCCAGCCCCCACGCTGGTCCCATCTCCCCCTCCCAATCCCCACCACCACCCCTCCTTACCAGATAAGGGTCGAGGCTTCCAGCATTTGATATGGAAGCAGTTTTCAAACAGGCCACTGAAAAACACTTCCTGGGACTCCTCATTCACCAGCCGCACCCAGAAGGGAAAGATGGAGACCAGCAGTATGAGCAGGTAGCCCAGGGAGGTCATGGCCGGGGCTATGGCCCACGTGAATCCCTTCATGTCCTTGTTCTCTAAAGTCAGCATCACCTGTGCGGGGCAGAAGTGAGCGCTCCTCAGGCGGCACATGGTGAAGGAAATGTCAGCACAGACATGAGGCTCAGAAATGGGTTCTTTCAGTTGCTAAACATTAAAGTCTTGCACCCTCCCTCTTTGGACCTCAAAAACGCATGAAACATTTCTGCTGCTAACTCACAGCATGAACCTGGGCATGTGGGGTCCCTTCTCTGAGCCCTAGCTTCTGCCTCTGTAAGATGAGGAGGCTGGACTGGACCCCTTCCAGCTCTAAGGTTCTAACCACTCAGTTCTGTTAACACCCACCCATAGAAGACCCTCTCTAACACCCTCCCTCACAGTCAGCTATTTGCCTTTTGAGATTTCAGACAAAGGATGGGGGAGACAGTAAGACCAGGGTCTGAAGTGCCCTTCCTCAGTGACAACCTTCTTGTCCCAGGACCTGGGGTTTAGATGGTAGGGGTCCACCTGGCCAGGGGGAGTCTGCTACTGATAATGAGCAGATCATGTGCACACAGTTTTACAAGTAGACTTAGAGCCACAGATGCCCTCTTGGGCTGGAGGCCATGGCCCTCAGGTCATCTCCCTCATTAGCCCTAACATCCAAGATGCTTCTCTTGAACACACACCTGTGATGTGGAACCTAAGTACTGGCTGAACTCGGCCTTAGGAGCCCCAAACTGCTGTCCCGGCTTTATCACTGCTAGCTGTGTAACCTTGGAACTTGCTAAAACTCTCAGGAATTTGGGTCCCCTATTTGGAACAGAAATGTAACTCCTGCCCAGTGAGTTCAGGGGCAGGGCCAAGTGAAGTAACACACACCAGTATCACAGGAAGATGGCAGCGTGAGTAGTTCAGAGAAAATCTCCTCCCCAAAACATATATATTTATGAAAATACAATAAATACAACTATTCCTAAAAGAGACACCAGTGGATGCAGTACAACAGCCAAGATACATCTACATATGCGAGAACTCAGCATCACATGAAGGGGGTAAGATATAAGCCATGGCCAGGCGGGACCCGAACGCTCCCTCACCCCAAAACCCGGTGGGAAGAAAGGAGTCGGAATGGGGAGGGAGTGAAAGCCCAGGACTGCTAAACAACCAGCTCTAGAAATCTGCACCCAGAACGCAGACACAAGGTGCATGGGGTGCTGGATATCAGAGAAACAGAAAAGCAAAACCTGTGGGCAGGTCTCCACAACCAGCACCCTTGAGACAAAAGAAAAGCGAGTGCTTTCTGCAAGTCTTAAAGAGACAGGGACCCCATAGCTGGAATAAATTGTCTTGGCACACATAGCCAGCGCTGGGAATCTCGGGTAAACTTAGGCGCCCTAAACCCCGGGGAGGCAGTGCAGCTCTGAAGCCCCTTACAGCACTAAGAAGCCTGCCAGTCGTTTCTCCAACTGGCGCGGACCCCGACACACCGGCCCAGTAGTGGGAGAGTGGCAGTGCATGCTGGGGGCGGAGGCGCCGGAAGGGACTGAGAGCAGATCCGTGTGCCAAAAGCATCAGAGGAGACCAGGAGACACTTGTGTGAGTCCACAGCAGCGTGACCAAACAGCCCGGGCATGGCTCGCACGCACCGGTGGCAGGGGAGCCAGAGGAGAACAGTAGAGGCCCGTGAGCACCTGCAGCAGAGCCAGAGGGAGCAGGTGCACTCCCAGTAGCCGACCGGAATCCAGGCCCAAGGCCACAGCCACCTGGGCCAGACCCAAAGGCCGCTGCTGGCACAGAGCTGCCGAGCAGGGTCACCGCTAGCAAGGAGGAGCACACCTGGCATGCCTGCCACTCCCCGCAGGGCTCCATGCTGCTCTGACAAACACCCCACCCACAGCAGCTTAGGGCACTAACCCGGTGGCTGCTCCACGAGTGCGGGTAACTGTCACAGGCAGAGGAGAAGGGCAAGGCATCCAGCAAGCAGGAAAGGACTTTCTTCTCCAAGCTGACACACCCGTAACCTGCCTACAGCCACAGCTATCACCATGAAAAGGCAAAAAACATTTGCTCCAGTCCAAGATACTTCAAACAACACCTGAGAAAGGATCTGCAGAGGCAGACCTAACCAGTCTCCCTGAAAAAGAATTCAAAATAAAAATCACAAACGTGCTGACAGAGCTGCAGAGAAATATGCAAGAGCTACGGGATGAAGTGCAGACAGAGACTACAGACATCTGGAGGGAGATGACAGACGTCTGGAGGGAGATTACAGACGTGAAACAAACTCTGGAAGGATTTATAAGCAGACTGGATAAGATGCAAGAGGCCATTGATGGAACAGAAACCAGAGAACAGGAATGCATAGAAGCTGATGCAGAGAGAGATAAAAGGATTTCCAGGAATGAAACACTATTAAGAGAACTGTGTGACCAATTCAAAAGGAACAATATCCACATTATAGGGGTGCCAGAGGAAGAAGAAAGAGGAAAAGGGATAGAAAGTCTCTTTGAAGAAATAATTGCTGAGAACTTCCCCAAACTGGGGGAG